AAAGCAGCCGAAATAAATAATAGTTTTGTGAAAAGAAAATGCGGATAGTAGAGTCAGGTCTGTTTCTGTATAACATTCTTTAAATATGTAGTACCAAATCATTTTTGCCATTTCAATGCCTTGTGGAAATTCGGTATTATAAGTTTTCCTTAAAATATCAACACCTAAACTTTGTACGTACGAAATAAAGACATCCAAGAAAATTTCAAAATTTTAAGGGGTCGAAAAAATTTAATTATTGAAATATTAAAAAATATTTATGTATTTCCAACCCTGATAGCGACCCGCTAAAGGGTTGCCTCATGATGTCATTATTTAAAGCACCACCCTAATGTATAGTATTCATGTAGCAAACATTTTTCTTCTTTTTTTATTCTCTTAATACTCAATATACAAATAATTTGCTTAATTGACATATTTTCATATATATGTATTTTTTTTTTAATTTGGCACTGAAATTACAAAAGTAGTGTTAATTGAAAAGTTTTTAATTGACGACTAACTAATTATGTATAGTTTTTTTTTCATTTGATACTTCTTTTACAAGAGAAGTCTAGTAAATATATTTTGCTGCATTGGGCTAATTTTCTACCAAATAGTATTTTTATTTTACATTTTGCATTCGAGTAGAGACAAAGAGCATGGCGTTCATCGGAAAAAGGACGAAAAATCTTTTTGATGAAATTTTATAAGAATGAAGCCAGCAATCATCTTTTATGTAGATGCATAAGTCAAATTTTTACTGGAAAAAATTGTCTACTCTCATTTTTAACAGTGACCGCAGTAGCCGAGTTCAACGGCTATCTTGGAGACTAAAAAGCATGTCTATCCCCTTGGACCACTGTGTGGTAATCTAAGGCTCGCAATCTATATCAAAAAATTTGGAGTCCATAAGTACTGAAAATTTTAAAGTTTTCCATCCTCACTCTCTCTTAAAACCTTTTGATTTCGATAATTTTTCCGATTTAAAAACAATGCCCTTTGTCTCAGAGTTAGTGAAAATCTAAGTTTTTTTTTTTGTAATATTAACTTTTTATGTTTGCCAAAACTTTTTATACTTATTTTAAGCACACATTTACACAGAGATATTTTTTAATTTAATTGGCATATGTTGCGAAAAACACTTACATAGATATCTGTAACTATTTCTCATCTGTATGTATGTACTATGTGCTATGTGCCTATTTTATGTAATTTGATTTTTGTAACACTTTTTTTTCTTAAATCTTATCAAAACGTGTTTCTTGAACATGTTGGATTTGCAACAAAAGGTCCTGCCTGTATTAAATAACTTTTTGCATTTAACTATTGCACTTTATTGTAAAAATTTGTGGATATGTTTGCATAGTAGATAATAAACATACATATATATCTATCGTATTTTTTGTAACTTTTACTTTCGGTTTGGAAGCTTATTTTGATAAAAAAAAAAGAAACAAATTATATATTTTTTAATGTTGCAACTGATATGTTAGAAATAAATTGCCTTCTTTTTTATATTTTTATGTATAAACTATAGTGTTTATCAAACTATACTCACTCACATATTAACAAAAGTTATTTTTTTATAGTTTATTCTCTAACAAAAATCGTATAAATCCAAGTTTCGATGTTTGTGTAATATTAGCAAAAAAAAGTCAAAACAACTTTAATAGTTTAGGGTGAGCCAGAAACTATCAAATATACCTGCTGCAGTCTACAAAAAGAAGTCTGATGAGGAGATGTGGTGATCTCCGAAATAGCAGCTATAACTTCTAGCGCTTAGACATTGTTGTTTTTTCCATTTTTCCTAATAAACATAATCGTGGTACAAAGCTCAAAGCAACATTAAAAATAAAAAAAAACTTTCATTAAGATTTTTAATTGGACTTCTTAGAAAAATTCGAGTACGCAGTTTTGTAGCCCATTTAATTTTAGTACAATAAAGTACATGCCTGAAGTAGCTGGGGCTTGCCGTTGACTTTTGGCAATTTTTTTTTGTTGACATCGTCCTTTTCTTCCATACGAAGTATGCTCGACCTTTTTTCTATACTAGAGCGCCAGTTACTGTCGAAATTCGACCGTTTTCCAAGATTTTAAGAGCCTTGGAGAGGTTTTTTTAACTTAGCACGTACCGGAAAGTCTTCTGCTTTGGAACTAAAACATGACTAAAATTTTGTATATCTTTGAAGGACTTCGGCAGGCCGTGGAATTGACCCGATACATTCCAGTTTATCGATAAATTTTAAATGGTTTGATACATATCGATAATTCGATGAATTTCAAGAACACTAAAATCCGATAGCTTAACATAAGTCGATAACTCGACTAATTTCGATAACTGTGAAATTCGAGGGCTCGATAAATTTCGATAACTCAAAAATATATATGTTACGATATAAATCGATAACTTAATAAACTTTGGATACCTTTAAAAATTTCTAATTTTGGCAACCCCATTCCGATAACTCGTTACACTCTGTTAACGCTATAAAACTCGATAAGCAGTGATAACTCGATAAACTTATATATCCTTGAAATTTCGATAAATCGATATGTTTTGAAAATTCCATAAACTTCGATTCGTTGAACCAACCAATTTCAGTAGATCAATAATTATCGATAACTCTGTAAGTTGAAAGAACCCGATGCATTACGAAAACTCCATAAACTTCGTTAATAAATGAATTTCGTTAACTTAACAAATTTCGATAAAGTTTCTATAAATTTGTATAGCCTGATAACTGTCCGTAAGTTTCGACAACTAAGTTTCTGTGTCTATAAATTTCGTCAACTCAATAAATATTGATCAATTTGAATAATTCGATACGATGCGATAACTCAATAAGCATGGATAACTCGATAAATTTCGATAATTATAAACTTCGATGATTCGATAAATTTCGGTAACTTTTATGACTGAATTTATTTCGATTCCTATTGAAAATTTTCAATTAATTTTCTTACTCTTTCAGTTACTCCAAGTCTTGTGTATTTCTCACTATCTCCATTTTCGTCTTTATCTTTCTAAGAAATCTAGTTAAAAGGCTCGAAATTTTTACGAAAGAAAGAAATAATTAAAATTAAAAAATAATAAAGTAAGTAGTCAACTCTTGTCAATATATGAGTGTCGTAAAGTTAGGATAAGCGCTATATATAGTTAAGTAAATACTTCTTTTGTAGTGTATTTGTTAGCAAATAAAAATAAAATTTGTATTTGTTTTTTAACTGAGTTTGTGTGTGTGTGTTATAATTACATAACTATGTTTCTATTTATTTTGGTCCAGCCAAAATATAAATATTTTTTTTTTCTCTTTAATTTACTTATTCTTAGTAATGCATTCATATGTACTTTGTGTTTGTTTTCCTTAATTTTTTTGTTTTCTTACTTCACAATATATTGCTGCTCTGCACAGCTGTTTAGTATGTTTTCGGTAACGACAAGTTGTTCCGATTTTGGTTTGCTTAGTAAATTCGTCGTATTTTGACAAACATCCATTTACTGTAACATTTAAATGTTTAGTTGTGGTCAGATAAAAGTTGGTTAGCTCTAACATCTGAAAGTAAAGACAGATAGAAAGAAAAATATATTAATAAAAAAAGACTACACATAACCTAGATAAATTTATTACAAAAATTTTCTTCATATATTTTCAGAGAATCGAATCGAAACTGATTTGAACTTCGCAAACCATATGGCATTTAGCGATGGACAAATGGCAACTATTCAAAAAGAAAAATGACTTGGAAGAATGGGTTGGAAAATCGCTCCACAATATATCATACTCCTACCCTGTCGGAACCACCCACCAACAACGGAGATGAGATTTTTTTATGAAAACTGAAAGGAAATAATTTTTTTGGTCTCATTTACACGGAGAAGTAGGGCAATAGATGTGGGCATCCGATTCTAAGAGACGTAGACCTAATTCTTTTCATGGACGTAAAATTTGCTGGGTGTAATTAAAGATAGAAAATTGTCGTGCAGAACTCTGGCCGAGCTCAATCTGCGTAAAACAAACCAAAGAGGCAATGTAAACATGATAAAGGATGTTGGATAGCAAATGAGACATTTTTCCTACCCACTCCCTTTCAAATTGGATAATCGCGGCTATTGGTAGGCCAATACTATTCTGTGGGATATTAGTGAGGTGGACGGCGATCAGTGTAATCAGCGAACCTGGTAGTAAAGAATATTGGATTCACAGCCGCCGCTACGTTTTTCTATTCAGCTCGTACTCAGGCCAGCCTAAACCCGTTTGCTCTCACTTTCATAGCTCGAACAAGAGATATAATAAAATCCGCCACCTTCCCATGTTGGGGCGCTTCATAAATCCCAGCCACGAAAAAGTATTTCGGATACCCCGCAACTTCCTGAACTACTCATTGCCACCGGATTACGGAGAACTACTAGAACTACGATCCCACCGATCCCTCTTTAGTATTAAGATACACCATTGTATGGGAAGTCAAAAAGGTAGATCTTTTCGCAAAAGTTGAGACCCGCAACACAAACACCGAACTAGCGAAGAAGTGAGGATCGCCCAGGATCTAAATAAAATTGAACCAACGCACTTTGCCATGTGGTCATAGTAGATCTGGATAAAGCTGTCATCGATTAAGCAGCCTAAGTCTATCTAGGAGCATTCTATCCCTATAGAGGGTACTAGTCACACCGTCAGACTCAGCGGAAATATAAGAGATGATCTTAGAGTTTTACCCAGGCATACCTATCCACGATTGGAGAGTGGTTAACAAAGAAAATCTAAACATCATTGCGAGGAGCTATAACAAGGCTAACCATGATTTCGGGAGGATTAAGAAATGCAAAACTGATACTGAAGCTCTAGTCAAATTAATGGCATTCGTGGAAACTCAACTGTCATGGTATGGGTGTTTACTGTTTGCCCTTTAGTGCTTTAGAAGTTTCTAGTAATTATCCATTCATTCTGTAAACCTTTTCCGACATTGCTTTGTTAAATATTCTATGTTTTAGTAAAATTTTTTTAATTTTTTTTTACTTACTTTTCCTCGCGCGGTTCCGATTTCGTTTGAGCAGATGCGGATTCGGGTAGGAACAGCACAACAAAACCGCCAAAGAATGCAAATGCGGTGAGCAGTGTCATCATAAAATGTATCTCAATTTTATGCTGTACAATTGAAAAGTAAAAATAGCAAACAATGCATCAGTAAATTATGTGAAAAAATGTCAAAAAGCTGAAAGATTAAGTGATGGCTTCGAAAATATGCGACAACATTTTTGACCAATGAAGCATGGCAAGGGATTTGCCCAAACATGCTTACCCGCATTAATCATACACTATTTTAAACATACATGCATACATAGTATATAAATACATATGTATATTAGGGTGGCCCAAATAAAAAAAAAAATTACTAAGTCTGTTTTAATAACCGATAATCCTAACAGTTATATATAAACAAATTTTATTTTATGTTTTCATAACCACATCACGAACGAGCAGCTCAATGGATGTGTTTAATTATTTATGCATCTTAATCGATGTTTTCTGTAGGTTTGTTTTAAAAAAATTGAAGAATTTGGTAGCCAGATGTTTGAAAATTTAAAATTATTTAAAGGTCAATAAAATAATTAAGTTTCTTTATTAAAACAAAAAGCGTTTGAAGAAATTTAAAAATAGTTTTGAACTCGGTTGCCATCTGTCTAAAAAAATAGAACAATGATTATTATAAATTTAAGCTTGTTTAATACCACAATATGGGTATCACACGAAAGGTGTACGCATAAGCTTTGGACTAACATGTTTTTAAATAGGGTCGCCACCCATATTTTAACTAAGATGAGGTAATTATGCAAGTTAAGTGAAATGATGCAATATGCATTTTTGCACATTCGATAGTTTGACATTGTAGCTACGATATAGCGCACTCATTTTAATTTTTTAGATAGGTGCCGACTCTATGCAGAAATAAGTAGGGGTTAATACTTCATTTTAGCACCTTTTGTTTGACACTCAAAAAGTTTTTTATTATAGATAAATGGCAACCCTATCCAAAAATATATCTGAATTAAGGTATGTATTTTCAAAAACCTTGCTCGGAGTGCATAAACCTTCCATTTGATACCCATATTGTGGTATTAAGTAAGCTTAAATTTTTAATAGCAATTGTTGTATTTTTTTAGAAAAGTGGCAACCCCGAATAAAAATGCTTTTAATCTCTTCCAACGCTTTTAGCTTTGATGAAGAAACCTAATTACTTTATTGAGTCTTTAAATAATTTAAAAATTTCAAATATGTGGCAACTCTATTTTTCAAAATTTTTTACCACATACCCACAGAAATGACTTAGTAGAATGCAGACAAAAAAGAAACACTAGAATGCAAACAAAAAAGTAGATTTACCTATGTATTTTTCGGCCACCCTAATGTATATACGTACATACATATTTTGAATTATAGAAATTTATTTTGTATCTGTTCAACTTACCAACAATGATAAATATGGCGTTAGTATTAATGCGGCACCAGCGGCCACATTGCAAGCACCAACACCAACATTACGTATGGCGGTCGGATAGAGCTCGGCGGTGTAGACGGGCATTATGGTATTGCCGGCGCTGATGGTGAATTTACCTGCAAACACAAAGATACGACAAGTAGCATCAGTGAAAGCTTGTAAGGCAATCAAGCATGAATTTGTGCGATGCATATCGCTGTGTGTGTGTGTAGGTGTAAACACATGTAAATTGTTTGTATGCGATTCAATTAAATTCTGATTGAGTTGTAATACTTGCGCCACATACATACATACATACATATGTATGTCTTTGTGTATTTATGTGATTTCAATTCAAGCATGTCACACACTTACCAATCATGAGGAATGTAATCTTCAGCCAGAGTTGGTCATCATTGCCCTCGGTAATGGCTGCACAACAGCAGGCGAGGCTCGTACAGAAGAATGTGGCGCTGAATAGCCACTTTTTGCCAACCTTGGTGATAATGTACATGGCAATGGCAATGGCAGGAATTTCGACTAGGCCAGCTAAAGCCTGATGCCGGTTGGTTAGTGATGTAGGTTGATTAAATTCATTTATGAATAGTTGTTGTTTTTTTTTTGTAGTGGTATAAGGCGGCGATTAGTGGTGTGTGTGTGTGTGCAGTCGGTAGTTAACACATGGCATAAGAAGCGGGAAAGAGAACACGAAAGTAAAAAGTCTGTTATTAATTTGTTTGATTAAATGTCTGCAATCAAAAGAATTTATTAAATTAATTTAATTAATTCATCTTATTTTGACTGCCAATTAGGTTATTTCGTTGCAAAATACATACAATTTCGACCTAGGTTATAGCCTGAAAACATTTACATAAATTCATAACATTTTGAGCCGTAAACGCTTAAAGAAGTAAGCGACTTTTTTTTTTTAATTTTTTTTTTTTTTTTTTTTTTGATGCAGAAATGTTCTAAAAGCATCTAAATGCATTGCTGTGGCAAAATAAAATCCTTTTGGCGGTTAGGGCTCGAGTTTCTTTTGGAAGGAATACGTGATGCTGCTAAGGTACTCAGAAGGTCTGTTGATCCGCATCTGAGCAGCAGTTCAGACATCAAAATAATAAAACAACAAACAACTTTTTGATTAGATATAAAAAAATATTACAGTAAAACCTCGATATAACGAATGTTGATAAAACTGAAAACTCAACATTGTAATACTTCTGCTGAGTCCCCTGAAAAAATGCAAAATTTTTCATACAAAAATGTTCCATTGATATAACAAAAACATTTTTAGCATGAAAACCTTCGAAATATATTGACGGTTTAAGTTCCGTTGGCAAACAAAACTATTTATTTTTTTAACGTAATTTTTTAAAAAACTTGAATTTTTCGTCGTTTTTTTTTTGCTGACCTTATTTATAAAGGTTTATCAGGTGACATTTTCATAAAAAAATTGTATATACAAAGCACTTAATGTCTTCTATATTTTTATGAATTTGTTTGTAAGATTATAAAGAACCTATAGGTGTTTCACTGTACTACAAACGCTTTGTTGTCGCTCTGTCAAATATGAATTAGTTTCATTGTATGTCAACGTACGCTTTTGAAATCAGGTGACAAGAAAATATAGCAAAATATTATGGCATAGTTCCAAAACAATAAATAATATCTACATATAAAAATTTCTGTACATAGTGGCTGAATTTCTTTATTCATTCTGAACGTTTGGAATAAACTTTTCTGTTTATTTATTCTTTAGAACGTTCCTGATGATATGTTGACGTATATTTCAAACGCATTCTGTTTATTCCGGCTGTGAAATGGGATTATCCGGAATGTATAAAGAAACGCAGCCAGTATATGCGAGAATTTATGTGTTCTTCTTGAAGACTAAAAAATGTGTATCGGATAATAAAGTAGTCTTGGTTCAGCTGTACATTTGGCTGCCAGCGAAGCCGTACATACGCCACCGATACCGCATCTCGCTAAACCAATAAACTATCCCTCACGCCTTTTCATTCTTCAAAATGTTCGGGAATTTTGGAGGTATGTACATCTCAATGCGTGATATGAGCTCAACCCGAATTTATATAAGATGTTAGTAGCGGCACAAAAACAAAAATTACACTAACAAATTTTACACACGAAATGACAGTAAGAATTAAAACAAGTGTATAACAAATATATAGTTTTGATATGAAGAACCATCGAGGTGAAAAATCAACAGCTCTGGTAACACCACCTTATATAAATTCGTCTTTCCTGCAAACCAAAGTTTTTAAAATCTCAACGAATTCTTTCAAAGTAGCGGAAGTGTGACGGAACTAGGAATGTTAATCCCGGCCTGTTTAAGGTCTAGAAAATCGCGGTCTCGATAATCCCGGGATTTTCGGGATTTTTAATTTGCAGTGATGGTCACAATAGAAACTCTTTTTTTTGACCAGTATTGGTTATAATTCTTTTTTATTTAATAATTAATATTTTTTTTTTATAAATTTCTAGCTCATTATACATACAACACCGTGCGATAGTAAATTTTACACACAAAAATCAATATATTCGCGAAATCATGGGCCAAATATAGTAAAATCGCGTTTTTAGTTTTTCACTCTGACCCCAGTAATTCAAAAATGATTTTGAAATCACAAAGCCCTTTAAAATAAATCCTGATGCCATTTATTTATTATTTATTTTATTTTAGGAGAGATAGAAACAATTTTTTTCGATTTAAGTTTTTGAAAAGTAATGAATATCTAAGTCCCGGTAATAAAGCTGGGATTCCGGGATTGTGATAATGACATCCGGAAAATTCGGGATCGTAAAAAGCGAAAAAATTAGCATCCCTAGTCGGAACCTACTGTCACGTACATATGTATGACCTTTCGCCAGATACCAATATGCCTCGTTATTTGGCAAGTAAATATTACATGTTAGAGGTCTTGGAGATATTTGCTACTGTTCATTAGTAAAAGTTTTGTATTGTGTCCGTGATGCAGAGAACAATCGGTATGTAAACAAGTATTTGGCTATTAGAATAGTGAAATGTCGACATGTAAAATTTACCTTCTATCTCCATGGCACTTATTAATTTCTGTTTGGAATATTCAATTAGATTTAAGAGGAAATCACAGTAAAGCACAACAAATTAAATTTGCTGTCTAACTAAAACTTAAACACTACATACTTCAAATATTTTAATGGATTTTCCAGTTAACACATCCATTACTTTTGAGTTCAATTATATATATGTAAGTGTATGTCAGTCCGAGGTAAGGAAATTAATTTTTTCTTGTTTGTAAACTTGTTAGAGCTTAGTTGTATGCTTAATAACCAATAGGTATGGAAAAGCCTACATACATATATTCTAGATATGCAGCAAGGATTTATTAAATCCAGATTTTCTTTGTATTTAAGTTCTTAATATTGTTCGTATTTGTAAATAAATTTTTCTGCAAAAGAAAATCTATTCTGAGGTTCATCATTCACATTGCGTATACGACGTGGTTTGCCGCGAAGCTCAGCTTAGCTTATTCAGCAGTTATGGAAAAGAAACTATACCATTAATCTATAAAAGGACACAAAAAACTCGAATTTTGAATGAAAAATGCTCAAATTTCCCTAAAATTTTGTAAAATTGTTGCCATTGCCTATACGAAAATACTCATTTATTTACTTGTACTTACCGAATTCAAGTAAACATTTCCGCCAAATGAACTCATATTTAATATCAGGCCGTAGTACACCAAATTCATGGTGAACCAAATGCAAAGAAAGCAAATTGTCACACAACTCAGGTAACGCGAATTGAAAAGGCTGACGCAATTCTGTGAGGAATCTTCCTGTGACGGTGGCCTCAACATTGACTCAAAGTCCGGTGGCAGCTGGCGTCCGTTAAATTTAGCTGCACGCTGTACAATAACTTTTACTTCGGCAATATGTCCTTTGACCAGCAGCCAACGTGGAGATTCGGGCACAACAAACCTGAGAATGAAATAGTTAAAAGGCAAGATTAGACTAGAAAAAAAAATATGTTTTAAATGCGCACAGTCACAGAGTTTTTCAATGAAATTCAGTAGAAAAAATTACTTTAGTTCTCGTGGATTTCTCTTTGAATAATTATAATTTTTAGGTCCGGAGAGGCCCGACGGAATTCCGAAGCATTCCGATGAAAAGCTGAAAAACCCCCCAAAGAAAAATCCAGAAAAATAAAATGCAAAGAACCCTGAACAAATTCTCAACGGCACATAAATAGTCACGAAAAAGAAGTCTTATTCGGCAGCATGGTAGCCGTGTATTTTTTTAGTACTGGTTAATTTTATTATTTATTTAAATAATTTTTTTTATAGCCCTTCAGCTATTTTTTTAATTTAATGCAGTTTCCTAATTAAACTAAATTTGATTGGATTTTATTTATTTTGCGTTATTTTTAAGTTTACTGTTTTCCTTTATTTTTTATTTAACTTAAATTTAAATTTTATTATTTTTTTCTTAAGTAATTCAATTAGATTTATTTTTATAGAATTTTTTATTTTTAGATTTTTTATTCTGTTTATTTAATTTTAATGTATTTTGTATAATATCACTTTATTTTTAACTTAATACAATTTTTTTAAAGTAAATAAATTTAACTAAACTTATATTTTAGTTTACAATTTTATTTGATTTGTATTTATTTATATATGTATGTAATATATTTGTTTGTGAAACTATTTTTGATTTAATTTCATTTTTATTTTATTTCATTATATTTTATTAATACTTCCGTTTTTCATTCTGTTTATTTAATTTTAATGCTTTTTTATAATTAAATTTTTTTAGCCTAATAAACTTTTTTTAATTAAAACAATTTTATTTAATAATTATTTTTTTTATTTTACGTCCTATTTTTTTCGTTAATGTTTGTAATTTTATATATTTTAAATTAGTTTTTTTATTTTATTTCTGTTAATTTTTATTTTTGAATTTTGGTTTTTAATTCTTTTGTTTCACTTCATTTTTTAATTTAATATTTGCTATTTAGTTTATACTTGTAATTTTATTTATTTTTATTTAGTTTTAATGTCTTTTGTTTTATTTCTCTTCATTTTTAAATTTAATAAAAGTTATTAAATGAAATAAGGTTAATTATAATACATTTACTTTACTTGCTTTTTTTATTTTTTAATTTTGGTTTTTATTTGGTTTATATAAATTATTATATATTATTGTTTCTAATTTGATATTACTTCATTTTTTAATATAATACAATTTTGTATTATTTATTTAAACTTTATTGACGTAGAATACGTCTTACCTTAAGGTATGGGGGCTATGTTCAAATGTTGTAGTTGTAATTTTTAGAGCTTCACAAAAACGCTTATTGCACGAGAACTAATAAAGCGATTTCAAAGAAAAGTATGGCGTTTCAAAGATAAAATTCCAAACCTGTCGACAGATTCATTTTTTGTAAATAACCAATTCGGTTTCTGTCGTAAAAAACAACGGTAAACATTGCCTTATTTTGGGGTCAATTTTGAGCCTTTAAAGTGCTCTAGCAACTTATTGTTGGCATATATAACTTTCATTTTCGGGATATAGGTTCTTTGGAGCAGTAGAAATATTATCGGGTACAAATTTTATATAAATTTAACAAATATTGAGCATTTTAAGGCAAAAAATTGTTGAAAAAATTTGCAATTTTTTTTCATTACCAAAATGATCGAAAACCGCTCGAATGATTTTGTTTTTGTTTTCTTTAATCAAAAATTCAAGAGTTTTCCTTTCGTTTGGTATATGGGAAGTATTGGTTGATATCTTCTATATATGTTTATTTTATTCAAATATATGGGCATAAATGATTTTCCATACAAAATCACCTCGTCATCATTTTGCAAACACGTGCATATGTTGGAAGTGTGGGAAGGAGACAAAAAGTATGTATGCGTATGTAATGCGGCTTTTGATCGCAGCGTATGTACATATGTAAATGCATATATACGTACATATGAAAGTTTCAGTTAATGTGGATCTGTTTGGTTTTGTTATCGATATTTTTATCGATTTTGTTGCCGATATTTTAATCGATTTTGCCATCGATATTTTTATCGGTTTTGTTACCGATATTTTCACCGATTTTGTTATCGAAATTTGTATCGATGTTGTTATTGATTTTGCTATCGATATTTTCGGAACATATCGATATAATGATCGATATTTTTATCGATTTTGTTATCGATTTTGTAATCGATTCTGTTATTGATTTTATTATTGATTATTTATCGGTTTTGTTATCGATATTTTTCTTGATTGTTTTAACAATTTTGCTATCGATATTGTTATCGCTTTTGTTATCGATATTTTTGTCGCTTTTGTCATCAATATTTTTATCGATTTTTCTATAGATATTGTTATCGCTTTTGCTGTCGGTATTTTTATCGGTTTTTTTACCGATTTTGCTATCGATATTGCCATCGCTTTTGTTATCGATAGTTTTATCGATTTTTTTATCGAATTTATTACCGATTTTGTAATGGATTTTTTGATAGATTTTGTTATCAATTTTGTTATTGACTTTGGAATCGATTTTGTTATCGATTTTGTAATCGATTTTTCGATAGATTTTGTAATCGATTTTTTATCGATTTTGTAATCGATTTAGTTAACGATTTTGTTATCGATATTTTTATCGATTTTGTTATCGATTTTATTATCGCTTTTGTTATCGATATTTTTTTCTTAGTTTGTGCTTTCGTTTTTGACTTGGATATGCTCTTAACCATACCACGTATTCTACGTTTAAATTTAGCGGGTGTATCTCCGATACAGCCTGCAGACCAAGACGAAGGCGCTGGACTGTTCCTTTTTAATTAATTTTGTTAAGTCAATTTTTTTTTAATTTTGACCTTTAATATGTAATTATTTTATTTTTTAATATCATTTGTTAGTTTATTGTTTACATTTATGTTTCTTTATCTTATACATATTACTTTTTTAATTTTTTTTTAATTTAATTCAATATTCTGTTTTGACGTACATATTAACTGAAAAATGGTAAATTAATTGCCCATGCTTAAAAATTGCTTGTTCTCGTTGATTATTTTAATGATGCCATAAATTCAAGACATCACATGCAAAGCAAGAAGAATATCCATAAAATTTTAAGCACAAATTAGCACCTCAATGAAATTTACCGAAAATGCGTGCATCATAAAATATTTTTTTTTTATTTTTTGAATTAAGCCAATACCTCGAAACTTGTGCGAGTATTTCTTTTGTTATTTATTTTCACTGTCTGTCTGTTTGCTCAGCTGGCACATGTACGAATTGTTTAACGATCAAAATTTAAAACATTTAGTCTAATTGACGCCCACACGCGGAACCAAAAATCGAAAATCGAAATAAAAAAAAAAATAAACAAGTGGGTAAGCACAGATGAAAGCGAAATTGGTAGAGGATTTTCAAATGTTTTTTGGATGAGTAGATTCGTTTGAATGTTAAATTTTGCTCTCATTAACGTTTTATTATCCATTTTTTCTGGTAGCGAATTTATTTAAAAAATCAAAGCAATAAAAACAATTTTGCGCTTAAATAAGTACATTTTCAGATTAAGTTTAGCATCTCAACTTACCATAGAAAACACAGGAATATGCCTGGTATGCCGATGCAAAGCTGCAGCCGCTGATGATCCTGCGTCAGGTAGGCAATGCCTGCGATCACCATGTAGGAAATTGGCAGTGGAAATAAATTGTACATGCCAGCTATGGTACGCCATTTGCCATCCACATATTCTATGGCCAATATTAGGCCAGCATAGGTCACCGACACGGAGACAACACCGAGCAGAGCGCGCAGCAGCAGAAATATTTCCAACGATTCGGGGAAGAGGAGTGCAAAACCTGTAAGAAGGCGAGAAAGAGATAGGGAGAGAAAGAAATAAAAAATATTAAATAATTTACATATAATGCAGAAGATTTATTTCAAAAACTTAGTAGCCTCGTACGTATTATGTAGAGAAGAGAAAGTGGTTAGGGTATTCCACATTATCATCCGACAAGCATACAATTCCGCGAGAATTTCGTTCGGAAATTTTTCATGTTATTTACATACAAAATTACAGATGCCAACCGACTCCTTTAAAATTGGAATACAATTTTTTTTTAAATGGGAGAATTTTTTTACATCCTTTAAAGGCCATAAATTCGTTATTATGGATCGCCCTAATACATATAAAAGTCTTATTATAAATTATTTGGACGATATTTTGAGAGGGGTCAGGACTTTGTACAGTTTTGCTAGGATTTACGGCGTGGCCGCTGTTAGCCTCACATTTAGTCTGCAGGTTTACGTAACCTTGGGTGAGATGGTATTGGATGTTCAGGAATTTATGCCACTCTATAATCTTCTTCATTATGCAGAGCAAAGGTTAGAGAACCTAACCAGGAGCTACCCCGTCTAAACCACAATAGTTCCTTTGCAAGGAATATTTGCATATTAGCCTTATTAAATTCGTTTCAACCGCAAGCTATTACCTACGCCAGGACGAGGTCCTTACCTTAAGCAATTTCTAAGTGGAGGGCTTCTTTACAAGCCTTAAAAATGTGTGCAGGTCGGTCTTCACTGACCTTACCATCTCGAGGAATTCCGTTATTGTATGAATGCATCAGCTAATATTTGTGAATATCCTCTATGGCATACGAGCGGTATTGTACTCACTTGTTTGCATAGATACATACATATCTGTGTTCGTATGGAAAAGTAGCTTATGTCGAAAGGCCGGCTTTAGTATAATGCGTCATTCCCTTTTTTTTTTTTTTTAACGACAAAGAATTTTTTGATGAGACTTTAAAAGAGTATTGACTTGCTAGTACCGGAACTATTTCTTGCACGTTTATTTGCTAAAAGTTGTTTAACGGCTTAGCGCCCGTAAGTCATTCGAAATCGTATGCTGTGAATGCCGATTTATACTAAAGCCAGCCTTTCGACATAAGCTACTTTTCCATACGAACACAGATATGTCAGAACCTAACCAAGTACATAATACAGCAACCACTTGCAGTCATTGAAAGGATAATTTCGAATGTCTTTTGTGAGTAGTGTCTAAGCACTGGACCAGCAATGCTGGAAATCCAATCGACAATCGATAAAGGATGAATGCGGTCTTTCCGTGTGTACTTGTGGCCTTTATATGTACACACATATATACATATATGCATGCTAACTTATATTATGTATGTTTGTATGTAGTTGTAGCTGCTTTTGATTGTCAAGTTCATAGTCATTTCCTATCAAAGGTAAAAGTAGTCATCAGACTTTGTTGAGTTGCTTGAGTCAAAGATGTGGTTGTACATATGTATGTAGATGTGGTTGTTGCAGTATTCGTTTGTTCTTGTTTTTTCATTGTTGCTTTAACATTATTGACGTTGACGTTGTGGTATATGTCAAAGTCAACTTTAAATGCGAAAAGGTTGAAATTTAATTGCAAGCAAATAAAGAAAAGCCGCAACAGAGCAAGGATATTCAGTTGTATTAGAAATATGAAGAAGGTCGTAACGAAATAATGATTTCACAGAGAGAATGCATTTACGAAAGTGAGTTAAATAACCTTTTTGGGCAGAATTAACTTTATAGCAGTCAGAATAATGTGTGGTTAGGGCTCGATATAATAAATAGATAAACTAAGGAGAAAACCTACTAAATAAAGATAAATCTAAAAAAAAAACTTGAACAACTAATTTTTATATTTCCGAAAAAAACCCCGAATGTTCTCGAAAATCCAGAAAAAACTCCGAAATAATTCCGAGAAGTATCGAAGGATACCGAAAATTTGTGAATAGAATGCTTTAGAATGCAATGCCAGTGAAGGATGTGAACCTACTTACACATCGATTATCAGGCCGAGAGAAAGGTCCCTCAGTCAGTAACAATTCTGCGCCATGAAAAGCACAAGAGACTCTAAAGAAAAGATAAGGCATTCTTGGGCAGGAACCGTAACGGTTTTAATCTTTATAATTAAAATTCCAATTTAGCCGTCAAAACCGAATTTCTATCTTCCGATCAAATTTACCAATTATTTTATGACTTCTAAGTTCCTCGATCAATAATGATCGTTTTTTTTTGGACTTTCATTTTATCGATAAATTTTTTGATTGTTATTTTTGATTATAACTTTTTCAATTAAGAAAAATCGTTATTTGTGGATTGTTTATTTTTTCAAAAAAATTTTTATAATTAATTTTGAATTTAGTGATGTCCATTATAATTATTTTCAGATTAAATTTTTTGATCATAAGGGATTTAAATCAGTCATAAAAAACACTCTCCATAAATTTGGTTATAAATGATCAAAAAAACTAGAAATCCAAAACAACGATTTTTTTTTCTTTTTTTTGAAAAAAATAACTTCGTAGCATAATGTTTATTCTTGGCCGATAAAATAAAAACTAAGAAACAACGATTTTGCAATAATCTAAAAATTAAAATTTTCATATTTCAGGGTTATATTTGGGCCGTGTTCTTAAGGCCCTTGGAGAGGTGGCAACCTTTCAAAAAGATTGTTTAGTAAAGCTATCTCAAACATTTTTCATTTGTAATATTTAATTTAATTTAATTTTTTTTTAGTTTTTGCTGTTTTGATACGTGAAAACTCTATTTATTCAATTAAACAAAATTTTTCAAACAGGCGGCAAACCTCATCAAAAATATTTGTTTCTTTTAAGCAGTTTTCACTTGATATGCGCACAAGGAAAATTGCAACGGTTTTATTATAAACGTTTAAGCAAAACAGCTCTTATTTAATTTTCCCCGCTGCCAAAACTTCTTCATTCCAAAACTTACCAAATATCGTCTGCAGCGTTGCTGATATGAAAAGCATTTTTTTGCGGCCAAATTTATCCGACAAATAGCCCGACAAAATGCCACCTGTTGCCGCACCCAATAGAAAGAACATCTCCGCCACATTCTTAAAGTACTCCTTGTCGCACACCAAATCCCACTGCGAAATCCATGTGTTGCCCAAATTATCATCGCTGTCATATTCCCAAGCCGAGCAGGCGATGCGTGTGGCATTTTGGACGACGGCCAGCGGTGATAAGATAAGATTGTGTTGAAAAGTAGACACTGCCGCCGAGGGGTCGTGAGGCAAGCTGCCATGTACGCCATGTGACTGCTGTTGGTGTTGGCTCGATTGTTGTTGTAAGGCTGGCTGATGATGGAGGGAGGTGTGTGTATATGTGTTTGTGTGTTTGCGAAGTAATACGGCCACGCATCGGTGCACACAGTTGGGGTAATAATGGCAACGAGCGTAAGAGATAGGAGGAAGGAGGAAAGAAGAGAGCAGACATGAAATTGCGAATTAGTTGGAATTTCGCACTCGAGTGCACAGCAGCAAGAATGCAACTGAAGAACACACACACACAAGCATGCACATATCTACATGCATGGTGGATTTAAGACAAGCAGTGGCTGCTGTGATTCTATTCAGCAGATTCTTAGTGAATGCGAAGTATTTAATTGTGATGCTACACTTGTTGTTCTTGTACATATTCTCCAGTGCTGCTTGTTTTAAAGATTAGCCACTTGTATGGATGTATGTATGTACATTAGAGTGCATCATTATTCATCAAAAAAAGAATTCGATACTGTTTTTCCATGAGAATTATAAAATGTATTATATCATAAGACTTGTGTAAAAATATTTCAAAATATTAAGATTTGCGCGAGTGGACCGATTTGAAAATACATACCTCAAAAAATCTAGCTTTTTTAAATAAAATTTATTAAAAAAAAATATTTTTTTAAAAAATCACCTTAGATGATAGATGAGTCTAACATTAAATCGAAGGTCTGCCTAAAAATTTAAAAAAAAAATTGTATCAAGGGAATCAAAATAATGAGGTTTTTAGAAGTATTTTCCCTTCGCACGTCATTCTTAATATGTTTACGAAATATTTTGGCTGAAGTCTTATGGCCATATTCATAAAAAGTAAAGTAGTTTAAAAAAAGGTTTATGAAATTGAAAAATTTATGACAACGTCAATTTATAAACCTACTTTATTTTTTATGAGCAAGGCCATTAGAATATAATAAACTTTATAACTTTGTTAGAAAAATCGCAAAAAATTTTATTGAGGCACCCTAATGTACCCATGTGCATTTACTTACTTACCTGCAACCGTATACTATCGTTGTGCACTTTGCTCCAGTCAATGTTCGCCTGAAAGCAATTGTCTTGCGAATCACTCAAATTGCGCCACACATCCACCGGCAAATCTTGCAAATGCGGCGGTCGACTGCACCAAAAATTTTTGTTGATCGCCTGAAGAAAAAAACCAAAAACCGCACAAGAAAATAAATAAACGGTTTTGGCGGAAACACAATTTAATTTGTATACAGTTTCAATGCCCCACACATGTCGCCGCTACCGCTCACCGGGGCGTATGAGTAACCCACCACACCAATGATGTGCATTGCTTTGACTTCCGCGCCATGACTCACCTGATAGATTGGCGACGCTATGTGAAATGTATTGGGCACCTGAAACAGCGACAACAACATTGTCATCAGGCATTGCCACTTGCCGAAATGCCCCACCAGATCGCCGATCACATCAGTCTCATCCTCGCCGTTGTTGCTGCTGCTGCTGCTTTTTTGTGCCTCTCGCCTCGTTGCTTTTGTTGCTGCTGCCGGTGGTGGTGGTGGTGGTGGTGAGGGGCCATTATTGGCAGCGATCGTGCCGCTATTTGCTGTCGCTGACGTCACAACCGTTGCTGTCGCAGTCGCAGTCGCAGTCGCGGTCGCTGGTGTTGACGTCGTTGTCATCGTATTGGCAGGTGGCGCTTCTGTCGCCGCAGTGTTCGCGCTGCTGGTGTTGTTGATCTCATTTGAATTTGAATTTTTACGTTTCGCTGTCATTTGTTTGTGTAACTTTTGTTGGTTTTGTTGGTGGTGTTGCGGACTTTTTTGCGACGTCACAATTGTCGGTATCAATTTACTGGCATTCGTAGTGGTCGCATGCGCTGAGGACGGTTGTTTGTTGTTTTTCAGATAATTCCCAAATGGGGTCACTGCAATGAGATGAAATGGGAAAATTTCGTTGAATAAAAGATAATTTATTATTCTATGTACGTACATATCTGCTTTAGTGATATGATATTTTATTTTAAAAGTTTTATTTGACTTAAGGAAGATACAGGCTTTATTCTGAGTGTTTCGACCAATTTTCATACAAAAGCAATTTCTTAAGTTTTTTGCGGTACTTAGATCAAAAATTTAGAAAAAATCACAAAACGTTTAGAAATATTGGAAGAATTTGTAAATGATCCACAAAATATTCCGAACGGTCTACAAAAAATTCCAATAACCTCTAAGAAAACAGCGAACGGTCTCATAAAAATCCCCCCTCCCCTCAAAAAAAAAACTCCGGAAAGCCCTGAAAATGTCCTATAAGTTTCCCAAAAACCCCAAAAATGTATCGAAAACGTACCAGTAATCCCCAAAACTGTTGAACTCAATTCGTTAAATTCCGAACGGTTTCAAAAATGTTCGTAAAAATTCTGAGAAGTTTAGTTTCAAAAGTTAGAGATTGCGAAAACTCCCGGACTCTTCCGAAGAGTAAAAAAAATTCGCTAAAAATTCCGAACGACCCGTAAAATCCTTAAAACCATTGAAAAAACTCCAAATGCCCCAGAAAAATCTCAAACAACTTGGAACGGTGCCAAACAAAACCCAAATGTTTCAAAAAGCAAAAAAAAAAAACTTAGAAATCCTCAAAAATTCGCGAATGGTCACAAAAAGCTTCGCAGTTTTTAACAAAGAAACCATAAGCCCATAGAGCTCTTGAATTGTTCCCACCCAAAAATGCCAATATAAGACTAATGGCATAAGTTACTCCAAGAGAGGCCAAAAAGCACCAAAAAAAATACCAGAAAAATTATTCATTTTCATAACAAATAAAACTTGGCCTATTATTCTTGAAAATTTTACTAAACTACCCAAAAGTTCTGAAAGCTCAAAAAACTGCGACGAGCCTCCAAAAAAAAAATTCGGAAATGCTCAAAAATATCCGGCAGATAACCCGAAAATTAACCAGAGATCCTTAAAAAATTAAAAACAAATCGAAAGTATCCCAGAAACCCTTAAATTTTGGAATGGTCCAAAAAAAATCCTGAACGGTCTCGAAGAAACCTGAAAAGATGCCATACGGTTTCGAAAACTTTTCAGAAAATCTCAAAAGCCCTTAAATCGAGTGAATGGCATAAAAAGTCCCGGATGGTCCAAAGAACCAGGAAAAGATGCCAAAAACGCAAAATAACTTACGGAACGATGCTAGAAAAATGTAAAACAATCCGAAAAATACAGAAAAAAATCCTAAAAGATTCAAGAAAGTCCAATATGGTCGGCGTTAAAAGAATTACGAAATGGCTTGAAAAATAACGAAACAAATAATTTTTAACCAAAAACACAACCGATTCTTCATGATGAAATGATCAGATCTATACCAAATTAGTATGCAACCACCTTTGAGATACCAACTTTCCGTTAAAAAAAAAATAATTATCGAAAACGGTTCCCGTTGTCCAAAGTTATCCGGTAACATGCATAAAAAGATATTCCGATGATTTCATAACCTGTAACATCTTTTAATTATACTTTTTCACATCTTTTTTTACAATTTTATCAGCTAAATTTTTCTTCCTATTTCTTGCGTCAAACGTTTAATCCAAAGCAAAACAAAGTACTGTTAATTTATTATAGAAACCAACCGTTTTCTTAATCTTTCGATTGGGTACTATTTTTTCGAGACTTTTCCTGCTTATTCCAAAGGGTACGCACACATACACGTATATTTACCCACCAATATTCTTCTAAAACGCCAGCAACTCCGAGAAAGTTCAACGATGCGTGAAAAACTTTAACCAATTCACTTAAGTCAACAAAACATTGAGCTCATGTATGGCATTTAATAAGTACAAAAATACGTTTATACATATCTTTATATATATTAGGGTGGATCACTCTACGTACAAAAAAAAAGTCGGTACTGTTTTTCTGTTGGAATTATAAAATTTCAAGACTTCTGCCATAATATTTCGGAAAAAGAGTAAAATTTACGTGAGTTAGAAAAAATTTAAAATATCCGAAAAAAAAGTTTTTTTTTTAGTTAAGTTAATTTTTGAAATAAATTTTTCCAATAAATCACATGAGATGATAAAAAAGTTGAATCTTAAAAGATTTGCATAAAAATGTTATAAACGGAACTAAAATAATGCGATTTTTGGAGGTTATATCGAATTGGACGAGTTCACGTAAATCTTAATATTTTTCCGGAATATTTGGGCGGAGATCTTAAACTATAATAAATTCTATAACGCTGGTGGAAAACCCACATTTTTTTGCCGAGCCACCCTAATATACATAAATACATGCTTACAAAGATCCACTCAAAGTGGCCAGTTTGACTGCTAATCACACCTTTGGCAGCGCACGAGGTGGGCCAATCAGGCCAATCGCTCGTTCACCCTCAAAGCTTCAGCTGTAAGCAACGAATAAACAAAAATACACACAATTATATGTACTATATGTATGTTTGCACATACAATTATGTAGCCCAATAAAGCAATAAAAAG